AAGATAAAAATTATAAATGGAATGTAATTAAAATAACTTAGTTATCAGAATATGACATTAAGAGAGTGAAAAGGCAAATCACAGAGTGAGAGTGTGCCTAATTTCATTTGTCTGGAACAGTTCGTCAATCTTTCCTTGACATTCGTGACCTCGACTCTTCTGATTACAGGCCAGATCTGTTCTCATGATCCCTCAGTTTGGGTCTGGTGTTTGGCTGTGCATTTTTGGCAGGATATTAGTCAGCTCAGGCTGCCACACCTAATATGACATGGTGTCTGAAACAAAAAAAAATTATTCTGTCGCAGTTCTGGAGGCTGGAAGTACAAGATCAAGGTGCTGGCAGATTTGGATCCTAGTGAGGGCTCTCTTCCTGGCTTGCAAACGGCCGCCTTCTCACTGTGTCTTCACAGGCTGGGGGAGAGAGAGAACAAGCCCTCTGGTGTCTCTTCTCGTAAGGATACTAACCCCATCATGGGAGTCCCATCCTCACGACCTCATCTAACCCTGATCAGCTCCCAAAGGCCCTGCCATCAATACTGTCACAGTGGAGATGACACAAACATTCAGTCCTTAACCGGCAGAAATATCACAGAAACGACTCTGTTCTTCTCAGTGCATCCCATCAGGTGGTGAATAGTTTCGATTTATCTGGTTATTGATGACGTTCACTTTGATCATTTGATCAAGGTGATGCTTGCTGGGCTTCCCCGCCTGTAAAGTTACCTCTGACGGCATAAAGTCATAAAGTTTCTTTGTGATTGCGATGACTCTTCAGGAAGTTTCTTTGGAACTAAAGATCCCTGCGGTTGTTCAACTTCCAGTTTATTGATTTATTAACATCAGTATATTAAACTCAGATTCCTATTTTATTTAATGAACTGGAATCTTGACTAACATTATTGGTTTTGATGCTCAAGTTGTCTCTGGCGTGGCCGGTAGGAAGCGACTCCTGTGTGTTTTCTGCAAGTCGTCGCCCTGGCTCATCCTGCCCCTGACCTGTCTCAGTCTGGAAACAGCTGCTTCTCCAGGGAGCCCCGGGTCCTGTCGTGGTGAGTGGTATTTAGGGCCCAGGGTCTGCCACTGGAGGAGGGGGTGGGGTTACTGCTTGCGGAGTCTCCTAGAGGAAGGAGCTGGAGAATAAATGGATTCCTCCAACTCCAATCCAACACCACAGGCTGCATTCTAGTTTCATACCTTTCAATATTTGTCACTCTCTGCCCACAGTGAGAAAGAGGACTCTCATTAGCTTTAATATCTTTACTTCTTTTACCGACCCCCTGAGTGTAACCACCTCCCTCCCATTGCCACTGCCCGTCTCCCTGCAGATGCCCTTCTCATCATGCTTGGCTCTGGCTCCCTCCTTGCAGCCCCTCCTCTCCATGCCCAGCCTCCTGCCCTCCTCCTCGAGTACCTTCTCCACAGGGATGCCCTCACATTCTCCTCTCTGTGCAGCTTCGTTCGCAATAAAAATTACTAATCACCACTGTTCACTTCCCTTCCCAGAGCCGGTTTTCTTCCAGAGGTATTCTATTCTATGCATTGGAATTATTTATGAATAAATATAAGGATAGTTTCTCTCCAGATATTACTTGAACCCAAAGATGTGCATATTTATTTATTTTATTTTCATATGCATATGAAAATATGTCAGTAGACATTTGAGTTATTTCCCATTGGTGGCATTTATGCATAATACTGCAATATATAAAGGACATAAATATTATACAGAAAACTACATCAAGCATAAATGTACAACTTAGTGACTTTTATAAAGCAAATACTCATGCAACCACCACCAGCATCAGCAAACGGAACCTTCCCAGCAACCCAGAAGTGGCCCCACCTGTGCCCAGATTTGTCAAATGCATCGTTTTTCATGATGATCACTCTATTTGTGTCTTGCAGAGAAAATCAGTAGCCAAATGGAAGATGTTGGTAATTGTGACTATATTAAAATTGGAAACTTCTGTTTATAAAAAGATGTCATCAAGAGAGTGAGGAGGAAAGCCTCCAAGCGGAAGAAATTATCTGTACTGCGTAGAACCGTCAGAGGACGTGGACACGCTGTCCTGAGAGAACCCCTAGAATCACGGAGAAACTGACAGCCTGGTAGGAAAGAAATGGTCAAGACACTGAAACAGGCATTTCACAAAGAGGAAAACCAAATGGCCAGTCAGCGCACAGAAAAGACGTTCGACTTCCTCACCCCTCTGGGAAGCACAAACCAAAACCACCGCGAGATACTACCACGTGTTCCCTTGAGTGGATAAAATTAAAAAAAAAAAAAAAAAAAAAGACTGACAGCAGGTGCACTGGGGAGGAAATGAAACGGTGGGAACACACACTGCTGGGGAGGCACAGACACATTGCAGGGCGGGCGTTGCCTGCTGAGGTGGAGGATCGGCAAACCTCATAATTCGGCGATCCCACCACGAAGGATCTGCCCAAGAGACACGGGGGCCGGGGGCCCCAGGCAGCGCGCACAGGGATGCTGGTAGCAGTGTTGTCCCTAAATGCCAAGATGGAAACTGCCCAAGCGTTTGTCGGTAGTAAAATGGATATGTATGCTGTGGTACATGATGCAGTGGATGTCAGGCTGCAACGAAAATTCATAAGCACCCCAGTGAATCCCAGGGGTGTGACACCGCGCAAAACAACAAGCACAAAACAGTGCATGGCCTGGTTCCATTCATAAAAAGCTCCAAAAATCGGGAGCCTGTTTAACAGGTGACGGCGCTGAGGGATGCACTCGTAGGTTGTCAAAATGTGCACAGGAACTTGGGACTGATTGCTGGGTGTGGATCATTCAGGGTGAGGGTCCCAGCTGGGAAAGAAGGGGGGCGGGTCAGAAGGAGCCCCTGGGGGCTTCTAGGGGTCTGGACAAAGTGCTCCTTCTTGATATTTTATGGCTAAATTGATGGGTGATTGTTTTGTGAAGATTCATCAAGCTGTACATTTAAAAAAAATGTTACTTTTAATTGACTTTGGGCACTATTCTGTGCATTATATTTCACATTTAAGAAGTTTTTGTTTAAAGAAATCCTTTCTTTCCTATAGGTCACGGACAGCTCACTATTTTTGGCTAAAAGTCATCGTTACTACTTTGAAAATATTCGATTTTCTCTGGCTGCTTCGAAGGCATTTTCCTCTGTCTCTGGTGCTGCACAGTTTGGTTGTGATGTCCTCAGTCAGGGATTTAGTGTTCTATTGTGTGGGTTTCCCTGATCTCGAACTAGGGGGTTGATGGAGCTTATCAACTGTGGGCCATTTTCAGATGCTGTTTCCAGTGACTACGTCTGCCTCTCCCACCATCACAGCCTCTCTGGCCAGTCTCCCAGGAGCGCATCTCTCATCCTGGCTGCCAGCCGCCCCTGACCACCCCTGCAAAGCCTCCAGCTCAGCAGGTGGATGTGAAGCGGGGGATGGGGAGGAGATTCCTGTCCCTTTTCTGTCTCAGAACAGTTCCCCTCTCCGCCCAGTCCCTGTCAAGGGCAGTTCCTCTCATTCTGAGGTCCAGTGCAATGGAGCTCGCCTCAGTGGGCCCTGTGGTTTGGTGGAGTCAGAGACTTCCCCAGCCCCTTGTGCCCCTATCCATCTGAGCTGTCAGCTGCACGCTATGGGAGCAGGAGGACCCCAGGGAGCATATATTCCTGGTCTCTAAAGCCCCCGTGGGACTGCTGAGCACATGCAATTAGGAAAGAATGTTATGCAGATCTCCCATGTCTGGAGAACAGGCATCAAGCTCTGCCGCCTGCTGGAGTGGGCAGTGGCTTGGCAAGGGCAGGGGAGCCTAGAGAGCTCTGGGCCACTGTGGTCACAGGAAAGGAGGCTTGGGGATGACCCTATAGCACATCCTCCCCAATGCACACACATTCTACACATGCACACAGCCACACACAGCACACATACACAATACACACATGCACACATACATGCACACATGTACACACAACACACATATGCACATAGTCACGCATGCACATATTCACAATCCACACATGCACACAGTCACACACACATGCACACAGTCACACACAGCACATATACACACATACACAGCCACACACATGTGTACACAACACACACACATACATAGTCACACACATGCACACAGTCACAAACATGCACACACAATACATCCACACACATGCATACACATGTACACACAATACATACACATGCATGCACAGTCTCACACATACAATCACACAAAGCACATTTACACACAGGCACACAGGCACATATGCACATACTTGTACACACAACACACAGATGCACACAGTCACACACACATGCACACATAGCATGTACGTCACATGCAGTCACACACATGCAAACACATGTACAGTCACATACATGCAAACACATATACACATAATATATGCATGCAATTAGTCACACACACATGCAGTCACACATAGCACATGCACACATGCACACAGTCACACATAATCAGTCACACACACACACATACACAGACAAAAGCACACATGCACACACACTACACACACACATGAACACATGTGCACACAGTCTCACATAAGCACAGTCACACGGACATGCAACACACATGCACAGTCACACACACACACACACAGATGCACAGTGAGGCTCAGCCTTTACACTCCCCTCAGTCCTGATCCTTTATTTATTTATTCATTTATTTATTTATTTATTTATTTATTTATTGAGACGGGGTCTCGCTCTGTCACCCAGGCTGGAGTGCAGTGGTGCAATCATGGCTCACTGCAACCTTGAGTTCCTGGGCACAAGCAATCCTCCTGCATCAGCCTCCCAAAGCACTGGGAATATAAGCATGAGTCACTGCGCCCAGCCCCAATCCTTTTAAACTGGGCTGTTGGGCTGGGGTCCCAAGGGCAGTGACCAGGGCAGCATGGGGAGAGGCGAGGGCAGGGAAAGTCACCTGACTCCCAAAAGATACAGAAATATATGGAGGCACACAGGGAGAAGGACAGAGAGAGACAGCGAGAGGGGGATTCTTTCTTTCATTCATACAATGTTTATTGAACGTCCAATGTTTGCCAGGCACTGTGCAAAATCACATAAAAATGAGGCGGGAGGAGTGCAGTGGACAGGGAGCGCCAGCAGGTCAGGCATGAGTACAGACAGGCAGAGACACAGACTTCGAAGCCGGACCCCAGTGCTGGAGCTGACGCCTGCTTGCTTGCCTGCTGAGGGCGAGAATGCACCTGCTATGGGGGCCTGACCTCACTGTGGACACCCACCGCAGGAGCACCAGTCTTCCCCCGGTCCCCAGGGTGTGGAAACCAGGGGCCTTTGTAGCCCCACATTGCCCGGAGTTGGATACAAACATCCCAAGAGCTAGGGGTGCCTCTACTGGCTGGAAGGTAACTGTTCCATTTCCCCAGCATGAACTCAGAAAGCTTCAGCCAGGCACAGGCACGTCCCAGGGAAAAGCTGGCTGAGGGCTTCCCTAATGCAGGTGTGTTTCCTCCTGGCCCCTGTCCCAGGCAGCCACCAGCACTGGCATCGAAGGCTTAAGGAAAATAGGGAAAGAAAGCATTTGCCCCTCTACTTTCTTCCCTCCCAGGCATAACTTGGACGACACCTGGACACTGGGGTTGGCCTTAGCTGACCTCATGACCCAGGACCCAGGTCTCCCCCAGGTGACCCAGGAATTAGAAGCTAGGACCCTCTCTCTTCCAAGGCCCAGCAGCCTCTGCCATCATTTTCCAGCCCAGGCGCATTCAGGAAAGCCTCTGGGTCTAATGGTGAAAGCATCCAAAGTGCCCACAACCGGGTTGCCCACATGCTCGGTGAGGCGTTCAGCCGCCCCTGGCACCTCTCCCACCATCCTCCAAGAGGCACGATGACAGCTCCATGCAGCCCTGTATCAGCCTCGCAGCCGCCGCCTCCTGCCCGCCCATCCCACCACTGCCTAGGGTGAAGGGTCAGTGCTCAAGAGTCCCACATGGTCCCCACCCTGTCCCCTCTCTCGACTCGGACCCCCAAGCCTTCCCGTTTTGAGGTCACGCACTCCCTTCCCCTCCCCTCTTCCCTGAGCAACCCCTCCACCTCCGCCTGGGCTGCAACCCAGGCCCATGGGCAGGTGTTGGCCATCCTGCCTTCCTTTGCGGGTTTCTGGGTCAAGACTGTGACCTGCCTCTTGCTCACTGCACTCCTGCCACGGTATGCCCTGTCTCCTGCGTCTGTCCCATCTGCTGCTAACTCAAGGTCCTCCCTTCCGAGGCATCCCACGTCTCCAGCCCAGAAGGCTCTTCCCTTCTCTGCTTGGCATCTCAAAGTCAACATCTTCTTCTCCCTGGTTTCCTGCTGTTGGTACACAGCCCTCCCTACCCACTGGGCTGTCCAAGTCAAGGGGCAGGAATCCTCCAGGCTTCTCCCCTAGCTTACCTCCCAAACCAGTCAACCCCACCACCTGCACAGCTGCCAGGCGCCCTGCTGTCCAACCCTCTGCTGCTGGCCCCAGCCCAGGCTCAGCTCCTCCACTTGCATCCACCTCTGTCCATTGGGATCCCCTCCAAGCTGGCCTCGCTACCCCGGAGGGCATGATCTTCCCAAAACACGAAGCGCACGGCCATGCCCCTTCCCTGGGAAAGTTCGCCTGCCTTCCCAGGGGATGATAAGTCCTTCCCACTGCACACCTGAGCTGTGGGATTTCCTGCAGTTTCCCAGACCAGCGGGGCCCCCACAGCGTGAGGCTCTGCACCCATGGCCAGTGCCTCATCTTCTTCATCTTCACCTCCCCGCCTCCTTCGTGTGCCTTGACACCCTGCGCTTTTCCTAGTGCACCCTCATCAGACTTGTCTTCAGGGCTGACTGGCACCCCCATGACTCTGCCTGAGTTCCAAGGGGACAGAGCCCATCCCTGCATCCTGCCTTCCACATCGCAGACTGCGCGTGCCATGGACCGGGATGGCACGGGTCTCGGCCTTTGAACAGCATCTTCAGTTGATTTTCACAGTGATTGTAGAAGTGAAAGGTCATTTTCCTATGTTACAGTTAAGGAGATGGGCACGAGAGAGGTAAAGGGGCCTGCCTGGGTCCCAGAGCCCTCCAGGAGGGACAGGGGTTAGCCAGGGGTCTATCGTCTCTGCCTGCTGCTTCCTTCTGAGTGAATGTGTGGTTTCCTTTGCTCTGATTTGGCCAACGCAGGCAGCTGAGGCTGTGCTCTACCCACTTCCGTCCCCCCAGGAGGCTGCCTGACCCTCTAAGCGACTCGAGTTTGGGGTACCTCCACCAAATGCCCACCCTCCCCATTCACCGTCTGGCACAGCTGTAATGGGGCAGACTGTCTCCTGCAGTCCGCTGTGACACAGTGCCAGGGGCCCTGACCACCAGGCAGTTCCTGAAGGAGGCTTGCAAAGCTTCCAGACTTTTCCAGGCCCTACCAGGGACACAAAGTAGAAGGCTGGGCTGGAGCTGCATGGGTATTTCATTGAAAGTTCACAGACACGAGGGCTCTGAGCAGGGTCACAGCGTGGAGGAGGCAGGGACAGGGAGCATAGAGTGAGTCGTCCCATCCTGGGACACTTTTGCCTAAGCCCTTCCCGCTAGGTGTCAGGTCCAAGGAGCCCCAGGAGCCTGGGAAGGGGCACGTGAGGGCAGGGACACAGACACTGGAAGCCAGGGTGCAGCAGTCAGGGAAGAAGCCCCCAGGCCCCAGACACAGGCAGGGCGGAGGCCAGGAGGCGGAGAGGGTGGGCTGAGGGCCAAGCTCACTGCCCCCTTGCTGTACTCAGCTTCTGATGGCCTTGCTGCCCGGTTCACAGCTCAAGGGAGCCCCAGGACAAGAAGCTCTGCCCTGCCCCAACCTCATGGGATCCTGCGTTTCAGGGACCATGAGAATAAACATGTCTCAGTGCTTGTCTCCGCCAGCGGACGTGCCTGGCAGGCCTTAGTAGTCGGTGAGGGGGTACCGCAGGAAGATGAAGACGAGGATGATGCAGGAGGCTGCCAGGGCAGAGCTGGTGATGTTGAACAGCCGGGCCGTCTTTGCATCCTCCACGGCTCCATTCAGGTCATTGAGAAGCTTCTTGTCTCGCACCTGAAGCCGGGAGGAGGAGAGGAAACAGGCAGTCAGCCAGGGAGCAGGGCCCCGGAGCAGCCAGGAGCCCAGCAGGGCCAGTGCCGCAGCACTCAGCACAGTATCAGTGTCTTGTTTCCGAGAGCTGACAAATGAACTATGGTTCTGGAGGAAGATGTCTCTGCCCTGGGGTACCAGACACTGATGAACTTAGGGGCACAGGGGCATCATGTCTGAAACCTCTCAACCCTCTACTGGTTTATAAAGTAGGTAAGATGTATTTATATATAGAGAGAAAAGCAAATATGGTAAAATGTTAACATTTGGGACATCTGGGTGAAGGATGTAAAGAAATTCTTTTCCCTTTTTGCAAGTTTTAAGTGATCAAAATAAAAGAAGTTGGCCTCAGAGAGAATATGATCGGAGGATGGGGTGACACAACTCTCTCCTAATTTGATTGGTTCTGCTTAGTTTAAAATTAACTGGGATGCCCTGAGGACGAGCGTTGTGCATTGACAGGAGAGACAGCAATCTCCAGGGCCCTTGGGGAGGGATATTAAGGTGAAGGGAGTGGGCTGGCACTCAGGAAGTCCTGGGGAGGCAGTGGACTGAGCTGGACTCATTTCCAAGAAGCGACCTTCATTCAGAATGAGTTATAGGGCCCTCCCTCCTCAGCACTCTTTCTTTCTATCACATCCACAGACATGTGCGTGAGTTTGCTGTAAGAAGAAACCAGGATGAGGAAGGGAAAGAGAATGGAAAGAGAGGAAGAGAGGAAAAGGCAAAAAGTCTTTGCCTTAGTAGACTGGGGCTGGGCTGAAAGAAGGAAGGTGGGTAGATAGATACTGGGACTGACTAATGCCTGGATCCCTCAGTGCACAGATTAGGCAGATGGACAGGAGACCCAGGTCAGAAGAGTGGACGGACAGAGGATAGATGGGCGGTCAGGGCAATGGGTGTGTAACTGAGTGGAAGAATGGAAGCATGAATGGTTTGGCCTGTGGGTGGATGGATGGAAGAGGCAGAATAGTGGAAGGAACAAAGGGAAAGGAGAGAAAAAAGAGGATAGAGGGAGTGGGGAAGGGAAAGAGAGAACGCAATCCAGTGGAGTGGAATGGAGTGAAGTGGAGTAAATGCAGTGAAGTGCAATAGAGTGGAGTGGATGGAGTGGAGTGATGGAGTGAATGCAGTGAAGTGGATGGAGTGGATGGATAGAGTGGAGTGAGGTGGAGTGAAGTGGAGTGGATGGATGGAGTGGATGGAGTGGAGAAGATGAAGTGGAGTGGATGGAGTGAATGGAGTGGAGTGGATGGAATGGATGGAGTGGAGAGGATGGAATGGATGGAGTGGAGAGGATGGAATGGATGGAGTGGAAT